CCAGGAGGTCCAGAGTGGCACATGCTGCCGAGCACGCCAATGGGAAGAGCCTTGATAGAGTTATTCCTGAGGCTTGAGGCCGGAAGCTTTTCTTACATCTGAAACCCTTTCTTCTCTTAATAACATGGGCCCGGTGAGAGCTAAAGCTTTGCCGCACTCTCAGCGTACCAATACCACCACTGTCAGAAAGCCAGATTCACCAGGGGACTCTGACCTCCATTCCCCAGCACCGTTCACATAACTCCACGGCTTCTTGCCATGCCCCCCAAATTGCCATGCTAAGGAATTGGAACCTTTAGGCTTAACCAACCAGAGTCCCTGCTCACCTTGTAGTCAAAATCTCTATTTGTGGAAAATCAGTCTTGCAAAAACGTTGCAAGAAACTACAGGACCCGTGTGCATTTGGACTAATCCTGTCTGTGGCTGCAGGTGGGCTCTTCCTTACATTGAGCTCAAGCGGTCTCCACTTCTCCCTGGTCCTCACTCTCTTCTCTTTTGTGTTTGCTGTCGGGCTTCTTTAGGGCCTAACCCTAGCCCTTCCCAGCCCGGGGCCTGTGACGACGTGCTGATTTATGTGGATGGTTACCTGTGGCCCGCCTTCTCGGGGATCATCCTTCCCTGCCACCTTCATCCCTGCTACCTGGTCCTCTCCCAGGCGAGACTGGCTGCTGTTCAGCATGGAGGGGCTGTTCCTGGGAGAAGAGGGGGATAAAGGCGAGGGCTATGTTTGGCCTCATTTGCCAAGTTACTTTCTCAGGGGCCTAAAGAGAAACGGAAGCCCTTGTATGGAGGAGAGAGAGTTTCTGTGCTCCCTGAGACCAGCCGCCTGGCTTCTAGCCGGGCCATCTCCATCACTACCAAGGAGCAAGGTGGCAATTCAGGTTTAAGAACAGGTATTTCGGGGGATTTGTCTGTGCCTGCTAAATATGTCCTGCAACAGGGTTATAGTACATGAGATCCTACATGAGTTTTAGAAAATCAGGAAATGAGCAGGAGGGGTGCTTTTGGGGTAAGGGGTGGGGAGACAGCAGGAAAGGGGAGAACACTTGGCAGTCTCCAGATGGGTGGAGGGCTCCAGCATTTAATAGGCAGCCTTGGTTTGGTAAGGGTGAGTCTGGAGTAGCAGAAAGAGATCAGGAGGAGGTTGACCGAGATGCAGGAACGCAGGAGTTGACTGTCCTTGTGGGCAAGTCATCTACCCTTTTTGGGCCTCCCTTTCCTCACCCGTGGCGTGGTGTGATGAGACTCAGCCTGCCCGACAGGGTACTTGGGAAGATTAAATGAAATAAAACAGCCTAAGGACCTAAATTTCCTCCTTTGCTCTAAAAATGCTGAACCAGAAGCTTTGCCATTAGCAAGTTGGGTGAGTCTGATCAGACATGATCAAATGTTAAACAGTATTTCGGAGGCATTACTTTGGTTCATCTCTTTTCTCAATATATGAGTCTCTTTTTTTCCTTTAAATTTAGTGTTCAATACCATCCTATAACCCGAATCCTGTTTCCTATTGTGTAACATGGGGATAAAAATGCCTGCTTTGCCTAACTCAGTGGGTACTTGGGAGGGTCCAATGCGGTGACAAATGTGACTACACTTAAGGCTTCATGTAAATGCAGGAAATGATGCTAATGATGCTGTGGTTAATACCTTTTTTTGGCAAAAAGGGCAGCATTCATATTAGGGAGGAAACTTTAGGAAGCTACCTCTATATTTGGTGCAATGACAGCTGTGTTTTTGTCCACTTTTAAAAACTACCTTTCTTCTAATGTTAGAATGTACCAGTAAACTTCATCTTAGTGCCTACGCCATTCAGCTCAGGATTTACTTACCCAAGACTCTGGGCTTTGTCAAGCTTGTACAGGTTGGGTGTGGGGAGCCCAGGAGTTGCTACTAAGGTTGTGTGGTGTACTAGTATGTGAACTGGTTGCTGATGCTGGATGCTGCTCCAAGCACATAGAAGATTTGCTCTTTGCCTGATTCCACCCAGTTGACCTTGTGATAGGACCAGAGGCTGTTTGGGGGTTACTGAGAGTCACGTTGGTGTTGTCAGTCAGACCCTGGCCCTGGCACAGGGGAGACAGGGAGTAAAGGAGGGAGAGAGGGAGCGAGGGAGGGGCAGGGAGAGCAGTGGATGGTGCTATTTTTCTGTTGCCTTGTCTTTAGGGATTTCTGTCACCAGCCAGGAAGCTTCCAGCCCCACAGGCCCCTAAGGGAAGGGGACAGCAGGTTATCATGCAAAGAGAATGCCATTTAGAAATAGAAGACCTGGACTCATGTCCCAGTCTTGTCACTGATTGATGGAGTTATCTTAAACAAGTCACTTAACCTCTCTGAGCCCTTTCCTCATTCATAAGATGGGGTGGCCGGTCTTAATAGCTGAGATGTGTAAGGAAAGGCTTTAGGACTGGAGAACCCTTAAGCAATGAGAGTGGATAGTGGTAAGGGTGTTGCTTTATTGTTATTCCCACTATGAGCAGGGCCTTTTTCTCCTGCAGGTGGAAAGGAGGCAGACTTAGATTAGAGCTTGAGTTTCCAGATTCACTGGTGAATGGAGATGCCTCTCTTGAAGGAGCTGGGTGTAAATAAAGCTCAACCCTTGAACGTGGTACAAGGATTTCTGAAACAGGTGTTAAGGGAGCCTGCTTCCCATCCTTATCCAGATGCTCATGTCTTGGAAAGACCAGGATGCTGCCTGCCAAATGAGGGCATATAGAACTTGCCTAGAACCAGGAGCTGGGAGTCTGAGGCTGGCGGTGGTTGGGAGGGGTGAGAGGGTGCTGGGACCAGGGAGCAGCCTGGCTCTGCCTGCTGCACATTTGGCTTATTGGGAGTCAGGCTGTTCTAGCCTCAGTGCCAGCTTACCCCAGACACCAGAACGCAGGGTGCTCTGACCAGGCTTCAGGGAAGAGTAAGAAAAACTTTGTAGGCCTAGAGATTTTTTTCTTTATAAACCTTTCTGCTATACTCATTTAAATCTACTAGTTTCTGGGTTGGCTCAGTGCGCAATTTGGAGGTGAGGCTAACACTTTAATACCAACAAACTGAGATGATGGATGGACTCTGACAGTGAAAACATGTTAACCATCTGTGTTAGGAGCCTTAAAAAATGACCATGCTCTGGTCATCTTACCCCTGGGACTTAAGCCAAGGAAATCATTTGAATTGCAGAAAAAGCCTATACTCAAAGATGTATCTATAATAATAATAGCGTAATATGCTAATTAGAGCAGACAGCCGAACGACCTTCCGGATGTCCTTCCGGACAAAACCGCCGTGGTGGGGGACGAGGCAGAGGCAGTTAGGGGCAATCAGGCAGGCAGGTGAGCAGTTAGGAGTGATTAGGCAGGCAGGCAGAGTGGTTAGGGGTGATCAGGCAGGCAGGCAGGTGAGCAGTTAGGAGCCAGTGGTCCTGGATTGTGACAGGTGGGATGGGGCCTAAACTGGCCATTGGACAGCCCCTGAGGGGTCCTGGATTGCGAGAGGGTACAGGCCAGGCTGAGGACCGCCCTCCCCACCCCCTGTGCATGAATTTCATGCACCGGGCTTCTAGTTTATTATAACAGTGGGGTGGGGAGGGTGCCTGAAATGTCCAGCGTTACGAAGAATGTTCATCTTTCTAGAGTGTAAGCACTGTTGGGTAAGGTCTCTCTTGTCCACTCTGTGTCTCCAGCATCTAAAGCAGAGCCTGGCACACACACTGCCAGGAAATAGTTTTTGAACAGTTGGTGATATGAGAAAAAATTATATCTGTATGATGAGACTATTATTCAGCTGTTTCAAATGAAGAAGTCTTAATGACATAGGAAAATTTCTGTGTTCATAGGATGTGATAAAAGCAGAATACAGATTTCTAAATACAGTAAAATCATAGCTTTTTTTTAATAGAAGGAAAAAAATTAAAAAGCTAGGAAGGAGCACATACAAAGGTATATGTCTAGGTGATGAGATCATGGGTGACCTTCTTTCTGTCTATATTTTCTAAAATTTGTCAAAGGATTGATTTGTGACTGGGGAAAACATTTTCAAACAAGTCATATTCTTTTAAAAAGGAGGTTAGGTTAGTTTATTCAGGGAACAAACCAGCGGTCTCTAGAGCCAGCTCCTCCTTCCTTTCAAAGAACCAGGCAGCCTTTGTGGATACACAAAACACCTACACACTTTGGTTGTGCCTGTCAGCTTGGCGTGGAAGCTGATCCCTCCTAACTTCAAAAGGGTGGTGGGAACTCTGCAGTGTTGAAATCATGCAGGTCATGTTGCAGAGACATGCCCATACATTTATATCCATCACTGAAGTGAAGACATTCTGTAGTAGGGAGAAGAATTTTAAGAAGATAGTTGGTTTTTTTCCTGGGTGGGTGGTTAATTCTTAGAATTCTTTCCCTGGTTCATGGGTTTTGGAAGGGCCGTCTGCTTTCCTTCATTCTTGTTTTAGCTCGTGCCGTCTTAAAGCCACTTTTTGCTAAGCTGCTCCGTTTGTTGGAGTCGGTGCTTCGTGGAATGTCTCTCTAAGATGCAGTGCTCTCCTGGAGCCAAGACATCCCTAGAATTAAAATCCCTGCGTCGTAGGTGGCCTCTAGCACCTGAGCTGGAAGTTCTTTTTTTTTAAAGCATTTTTATTTATTAATTGATTTTAGAGAGGGAGAGGAAGGGAGGGAGGGAGAGAGAGAGGAACATAGATTTGTTGTTCCACTTATTTATGCATTCATCGGTTGATTCTTGTATGTGCCCCGACTGGGGATCGAACCCGCAACCTTGGTGTATTGGGACAGTGCTGTAACCAACTGAGCTACCTGGCTAGGGCTCAGCTGGAAGTTCTTGGCTTTTGAATACAGCTGGGTTGTAAAAGATTCAGTGCCTCTCAGCAGAAAGGCCCACTTTCTCACCCTGGGAGGCGTCTGTGATGATCAGGGGTCCTCAGACATTCCCGACCTGTTGTTGTGTCTGTAATCCTTTTCATTCATATGACTTTTCCTTCATTATCTCCTTTTCTTTCTCTTTAGCCATAACCAGCAGACCACAGCATTCAGGCATCCTGTGAGTGGGCAGTTTTCTCCAGAAAACAGTGACTTTATTCTTCAAGAAGAGTAAGTACTTCAAATATTCTCTTTCCCGGGCAGAGCTTGGGAGCTTAAAGGCATTTGCTCAAAACAAAGCTTGTTGGATTATTTTCTCTCTCAGCTAGAGGGGCACGGAGTGGTTGGTGAAATGGGAGAATTTTGTTCTGCAGTCTCTGGACTTCTCTCAGTGGGAAGAGGTGGAAGGGGGAGATGGCATGGGGATGTCTGTGATTGGTATTGTCAGAGCCCCTTAAAAGCTCTCTTTCCCTTGAACTAATTATTTTCCTCAAGTGACATCTAACACGTTCATCTGGTGTGAAAATACCTTAAATACAGCCTCAGACTGAGCTGAACCAGCCTCTATAGGAAGCCTCAAGAAAGACCCCAAAGCCAGGGCTTAGAAGAGAGGAGGACGGGGACACCCATTGTCCCTGGACATTTTAAGCTCATGCTTGCTTTTCCCAACACAGGAACTTCCTTGTTCCTCAGTCCCGTCTCAGCAGGGCCGGTGGGGAGCTCAGAGATGGGTCTGCCATGCAGGGCCGTCTACCTAAAAGGCCCGCGCAGCCCAAGCAGGATGGGTTCTTCAACCAAACATGAAGGCAGAGATCCCGTGAAAATGGCTGTGTTCCCTTCTCATCTGAGGCCGTTCTGTTCGAAGAAAACAATTCTTCGTTTGAGAAACTAATAGAGATGTTGACTTTATGTGTTTTTTTCCCTTCAATTTATTTTTCTTTTGTTCAATCACCTAGACCAGTGGTCGGCAAACTGCGGCTCACTAGCCACATGCAACTCTTTGGCCCCTTGAGTGTGGCTCTTCCACAAAATACCACGTGCGGGCGCACATGTACAGTGCGATTGAAACTTCGTGGCCCATGCGCAGAAGTCGGTATTTTGTGGAAGAGCCACACTCAAGGGGCCAAAGAGCCGCATGTGGCTCGCGAGCCCCAGTTTGCCAACCACTGACCTAGACCAAATATGATCTTTAAAAAAATTATCAGTATTCACATTTTCAGCATTTCCCTTCCTTGATACTTACACATATAAACTTTCTCTTATGGAAAATTTCAAACATATACAAAAGTAGAGAGATACAGTAATAAATCCAATATATTCATTGCTCATCTTCAATAATTTTCAAAGCATGGCTGATTTTACTTCATCTATATACCCCTCTCCCCCGAGATTCTTTTGAAGCAAAGTCCAAACATCATTTTATCTCTCTAGTATTTTCAGCATAGAATAATTATTTTACAGAACTTTTAAAATTAGAAATCTATAATTACAGTAATTCCTTGCATGTTTACTCTGTGCTGGGGATTTTACCTGCATACCTCATTTACTGCGGTAATCCTGAGGAGTAGGTCATCATCGTTGTTTAGAGATGAAGACACTGAGACTCAAAGAAATAGTCACTTGCCCAAAGTTGCATGGCTAGAAGTAGAAAAGCCAGATGTCATTCTAGCTTGATCTCTTTAGTCAGGTCTAACCTTGCCCTAGTCAGCTGCTGCTTGCCAAATTATTTTCATGCTGGTGGCCTAGGGGACATGATGGCCAAACTGTGGGGTTGGGGTCTGACTTTGAAAGCATTACTACTATTAGAGAATGAGTGGAAGATAAAGACTATCTTGTCTTCTAATTTGAGAAAGAATTGCTGTGTAAAGACAGCCCAAATGTGGATTCTACGAATTCCAGCTTGGAATGAATTTGTTTATAGAACCCTGGAGGTCAGAAGCTCTTGAGAGGTCATTGGGTTCAGCCCCCTTTCTTAGGCATCCTGGAGACATGGGCACCTGTCATTATTAAAGGTCTGGGTAGGGAATCCATCAGAATGCTTAAATTGGGAAGTTACCAACTTCTGGAAAAATGCAGACTTTTATCACTGAATACTTCTGTCACACATACCTCCTCTTCCTCTTGTTAACAAAGACTTTGTCCCCCGATTACTTCTGAGAAGGTAGCCTCTTTTATTCTACCAAAATATCTCTGTAGCTAATCTCAATTCCTTTCAGTTTCCAAGGAAAAGATGTTCTTTTCAAGGGTCACTGTTCCGCTGTAGTCTATTTCCGGGCTGTCATAAGGAGTACTTGTTTATCTGGAGTGGTGGGGGTGCACCGGTGTGGCCAGACACTCCTTCAAGGAGGCAGAAAGTGCTTTGGGCATTGAGAGGAAGGGAGGATTCCTATGCGCTGATGTGGTGATCCCTGCACTTACTCATGAAGTACTTACTGAATGCCCGCATTGTGTCAGGGGCTGTGCCAGAGTCTGCAGTTACAGCAGCACGTAAGGCACATGTGGACCTGTCTGTGAAGAACTTACGGCTGAATAGAGAAGATAGATAATCAAACGGAAGATCACAAATGTGACCAATGTTCATGACCGAGGAAACAAAGGGTTCAAAGGGAGTTGATAAAAGACGGTTCTCACCTGGCTTAGGGATCATGGAAGGCCTCTCCATCTGGGGAAGGTATGTTGTTTAAATTGAGACCTGTCCAGTCCAGGTGAACAACCTGGGCAAAGCCCTTGAGGGCAGAGAGGGAGAGCGTAGAGAGGGGTCTGTACCAGCTGAGTTAGAGTGGAAACTGAAGAGCACCAGATGGATTCTGGAGATACTTGGGAGGTAACATTGATAGGACGTGGTGACGGATTGTCTGTGATGGGGATGAAAGAGGGGGAAGACTTTCTTGAAGTGTCTGGCCCTAAACAGGAGGAAGGGGGAGGATTTAGATAAGTAAGGATCAGTGTGCACGTGTATGAGGGTGGTCCACAGCTGAGGGAAGTGTGACCAGTCTTGGTGGGGTCAGAGGGTGAGAGAATTTGATGTGTAGTGGAGGTTTGGGAAGAGGAGTGTGGAGATAAGGTTGGAGACGAAGGCTGCAGCCCATTCTAAATGGTTTCCTCCTGAAACACACTCGGATTTACTTCCTGGTGGAGCTCTGGAGGGCCAGTGAGGCATGAAACCATTTAAAAAAAGTGCCAACGAATAAGATGACTGTTATAATCTTTTACACGGGAGCTTGATTTTGTTGTGTAGTGTGTTATGTGGGGAGGAAAGAAAGGTGAGGATCATTTATGTCCTTCACACATCAGCTCTCGGATTATGTTGAGTGGAAAAGGAAAATTGGCTCTTTTCTTTTTCTTCTTCAAAGAGAAGAAGGCCACATTGACTCCACTTGCAAAGCCTTCACCCTGGTTTCTTGGTGGGAATCCTTCTAGAGCAGTGGTTTTCAAAGTGTGGTCTCTGAACCAGAACTTGTTACACAGACAGGCAAATTCTTGAGCCCACCCCAGACTTCCTGAATCAGAGACTCTGGAGTAGGACCCTGGAACATGAGTTTTAACAAGCCTTCAGGTGATTCTGATTCAGGTTTTCATCCCTCCTAAATTAGTCCCAGATTCTTTCATTCATCCATAAGTCTCCCCCACATACCCCTCATTCTCTGGGCAGCAGTGATCATCTTAGAGGGCTTTGAATCAGACAAACAGTTTCTTTTCCTATGGGAAGAAAAAAAAGGTTTCCATTGTGACTTCCTTTAGAGTATTGCTGATGTGAACAGCTAACACATCTCCGCTACTGTTGGCAGGTGGAGCTCACCTGGGCTGCTTGGTGTAGCAGGTGCATGCCCACTAAAAGATGCTTTTTCATCTTGCATATTAGAAGCATGGAGAAGAGAAATGTGAAAGCTATGATTTGGTGGATCCAGAGGACATAAGGTCTGAGTATTCTAGTTACTGTGTCAGTAATGCAGAATTAGTCAGGATAGGCTAGGGTCTGCTATGGTAACAATATGAAACAAAATCTCAGTGACTTAAAAGAGTTAAGGTTTATTCTCACTTTTACTGAGAAAGAAACCTGAATTGTCACCTTTACTGAGAGAGGCTCCATCTCTGTGCTTCATGATCACCAAAGGGAACTTTAGTGACTTGTGCACTGGCTCTTTCACTCACATTTCATTGGCTAAAGCAAGTCACATGACCACTCCTAACTTCAAAGGGGCAGGGAAGTGCATTTCTACCATGCACCTGGGAAGAAATATTTGTTGGTCAGCACTAATGACTACACTTAATCCACAGTCAAGATTTATTAAGGGAAGTTGGACCTTTCAAATCTGTCACTGACAAGCTTCTTTTGCTGCATGACTAGAGTGTTTACTACATGACTAGAGCAGTGGTTCTCAACCTTCTGGCCCTTTAAATACAGTTCCTCATGTTGTGACCCAACCATAAAATTATTTTCGTTGCTACTTCATAACTGTAATGTTGCTACTGTTATGAATCGTAATGTAAATATCTGATATGCAGTATGGTCTTAGGTGACCCCTGTGAAAGGGTCGTTCGACCGCCAAAGGGATCGCAACCCACAGGTTGAGAACCGCTGGACTAGAGTGTTTTCTGTTATGCTACCGAGTTCATTGTCAGAACCAAATTCATTGTCACTCAATGGGTCCTCCAGCCTTGTTCCCAGGGGACACCCCTGCACACCCAAGCTGATAGGCATGTGGAAATCTCTGTTGGAGAAGCTAATATAAGCCCAGGCAGCATTAGGAAAAGTACAAATATAGAGAAAGGGGAGAGTAGTTCTGGTGTATCATGGCGTTTGTAGACTACTTCATTTGTTCATTTCAAGTTATGGAGCTCCAAGGATATGCCAAACCATAAACACTGTGCTCTAGGTAATAAATTTCAAGAGGATGCTGAGCAATTGAGGTTCCCTTGAGGAGGGGGACCATTATGGTGAGTGGCCTAGAAATCCTGGCCCTAGCGTGTTTAGTCTGTAGGAGAGAGGATGGAGGGGGATGGGCTGCAAGTCTTCAAGAAGGGCTGGCTGGTGGAAGTGGGGTACATTTATTGTGTGGCTGCCAAAGGCAGGCATCAGATCAATGAGTAAAAGTGATAGGCAGGCCAGTTTCAGCTCAGTCACAATTTTCCAGGAAAGAGATTTTCCAGCAACCTTTGTTTCAGGATCTGGAATTTCATCTTTAACATTAAATGACGTAATCTGCCTCTTAGAGTCTAAGAGTTGGCTT